TCCATGTAATTCAAATAAATTAGGCAAACCTTTTTTTTAGTTTGGGATGGAGTGGTAAGGGATTAGACCTGTCTGTCAGGTCTTTATTTCTGTCTGTGTTTACGCTGAAAAGAGTAATTCTTCTATTTGTTCAGGAGACCACTAATAGCAAGATGGAAAGTGATGAGACATTCAATATTCAAGAGTTGCCACCAACACAAAAGCTAAGGGTAAATCATCCTATTTTGGTAACAACTATCAAAGATTGAAATTAAACTTACTTTGTAGAGATTTCCTCTCACTTTATGTTGCCTCTCTTGGGTAAGAAGTGAAGGGAAATCTCCCCAAAGGGAAACAAACGGAAAAAAAGCAATAGAGCTATTAAAGGAGGAGTATTGGGGGAATAAAATGTACTCTTTCCAATACTTTGAGCTGCTGTGTGACAGCTGTGGGGTTCAATAGATTGAAAACTGAATGAACACAAACCGCTGATCACTCAGCTCATGGTCTTCCCCTGCAGAGAACAATGACTGTGAGTCACGGCTCCCCGCAGGGATTTCCACCGCCCTTCGACTGCTAGTGATGGGAGCCAATGCCTTAGCTATAGAGAGAGCAATCCAATAGGGACTAACAGGCAGCCTCTAGTGATCCCGCCACTGGCGAATTCGGGAAACCACCAGTGGCAGGATTACTAGTGACAGAGTCGCCCATCTGACATCAGCCTAAGGGCAAATCTCCTAGCAGAGGTTCTAACTCCAAAGGAAAAACATTAGGCTGGAGTTCCACTTTAATGCAAAAATGAATCAAGGATACACATATCCTGATAAAAAAAAAGAGTTTTTATGATGCAGCAAATATGCTGTCTCTATCTCAGAAGTGAAGCAGACAGAATCTAGAGCAGTTGTCCATGACAACCAATCAGCTTCTATCTTTCTTGTTCACAGCTTAACCCCTTGCCGTCCGCCCATCATAAAAATACGGGCGGACGGCGGATCCTTCCTGGCGGGTAGACGTACATGTACGTGACTTTCTTTCCTGCCCACGCTCAGAATCCCGCCGGGAAGGTAAACAGTCGTTACCGGCTGTTTCATACAAGTGTTCGGCCGGCTCTATAGCTTGTATAACTTTCATAGGGCCCACTGATGTCTCCATAAAGAGGACCTGTCATTGTTTTCTAGCTATCACATAGGGGGATTTTTATCCCTCTATGTTATAGCAATCAAGTGTAGTGTACAAAAAAAGTACAAAAAAAAAGTAAAGTCTCATATTTAAAAAAAAAAGAAAAGTTTTAATTCCCCCGTCCCCACGTGCATGCACATATAAACGTAAATACGCATCGGGTGCGCCTATGTGCAAAAACAACTTTTACAACACACGTTACATATCGCCACGATCGATGCAGTTAGAGCAATAAGTCTAGGGCCATAAATCACTGATAACACTAAACTGATGAGAGGTAAAAGCTTTTAAATTGTCACCTATGGCCAATTTTAGGCATGGTATTTTAGTGTGATTTTGTGGGCACACGCAAATTTAAGACTTGACCTGTTTGGTGTCTATTTACCTGACATGACCCCATATTTTATATTTGACCCAAAAATTGGGTAATAATAAATGTTTTATAACATAACATAGGGAAAACAGGTATTTTTTCAAAATTTTCGGTTCTTCTTTCCTTACTATAGTAAAAAAACAAAAACCCCAGTGGTGATTAAATACTACCAAAAGAAATCTCTGTGTCCCCAAAAAATGGTATAAACTTAATTTCAGTACAGCGTTGCATGACTGAATAAATGTCAGTCAAAGTACCGCAGCGCTGAATACTGAAAAATTACCTGGGCAGGGAGGGGGTTTAACAACCTGGTCTTCAAGTGGTTAAAGAAACACCCTGGGAAAAAAAGTTTCTTAACCCTTGCAGTGGGGCTACCTCCGCGCCACAAGCGTTAATTGTTCATTTTCATCTAGGGACTAAAGTAGAAAAGTTATTTTCACCTGATCTTCGGATATGGTCGGCTGTCACAGCGCTCCCTCCAGCCTTTCTCCTCCTATGATGCAGTGATGGTATGTCCCTCTGTGTTCTTACATCCTATACACTGTGTAAAGAACTAACTCAGGGACCTCAGGCTGTCAGAGCAGAGGGGGAGCAAGGCTGGAAGGACTGGTCTAAGAACGAGCCAGCTCTGATCTGGTGAGTATAACTTTTTTGTTTTAGTCCCTGGATGAAAAGGAGTGGTTAACCCTTGCAGTGTAGGGGTAGCTCCACTGCAAGGGTTAATAAAATGATTTTCCTAGTGTTTCTTTAGCTTAACAAACTGAAGAGAGATGCTAATTGGTTACTATAGGCAACTGCTTCTGTCTGCTCTAGTTTTGATAAGCTCCCCCATTGTCTAATTTTCCTTAAAGTGAATACTAAACTTAGGAGTTAAATCTAAAAAATGCATCCAAGTATCTTACCTATTGACAAAAATGTATCTTATTTGTGTATCACTCGGCTGTAGATCCACAAATCTTCTCTGAATTGGTGCTGACACTGTCCTTCCAACTGGAGGGTGGCTACTTTTATTCCCTATGGTCCCTGTGTGTGTGGTAAAGTAGTCACCACTCCAAGCTTGCTCCCATCTTGGACTACAATCTCACGTTTAGTTTACTAATTTGTAGGGATGCACCGATGCCGGTTTTTCAGTATCAAGTACGAGTACCAATATTTTTTATTTCGGTACTCACCGATACTGAGTACTGATACGGGTACTTCCGGTAGCATGGAGCCGGCTCAATGCTGAGTGGCTGGGAAGCCGTCCCAGCCAATAAGCATGGAGCTGGCTTCCCGGCCAATAAGGAAGCCAGGAGGCGAGTCATTACCCACTTCCTGATTGGCTGGGAAGCCGACTCCATGCTGTTTGGCTGTCTCCATGCTGATTGGATGGGAAGCCGGCATCCCAGCCAATTAGCATGGAGCTGGATTCCTGACCAATCAGGAAGCCGGGAGGTGGGTCATTACCTGGCTTCATACTGTTTGGCTGGCTTGATGCTGTTTGGCCAGGAAGCTGGCTTCCCAACCAATCAGCGTCAAGTCGGCTGTTTGGTCCGCTCAATGCTGAATGGACAGGAAGCCGGCTTCCCAGCTAATCAGCATGGAGCCAACTTCCTGGCCAATCATTACTGTTTGGCCGGCTCGATGCTGATTGGCTGGGAAGCCGGCTTCCCAGCAACCAGTATCGAGGCCAGCCAAACAGCATGGAGCTGGCTTCCCAGCCAATCAGGAAACTGGGCCATAAGTCATTACCCAAGGCCCGGCTTCCTGAATGGCTGGGAATCTGGCTCCATGTTCCCTTGCGGCAATGCCGGTCAGAGGAAATCTCCCTCTTCCCGATAGTTCCGGTATTGGGATAAGTATCGGAGCATTTGGGCGAGGACTTGACCAAATACTCGGTATTGGCACAGATACTAATACTAGTATCGGTGCATCCCTTCTAATTTGTATTGAGATTGGGGAGATCAGGGTAGCCAGCTTGGAACGGTGACTACTTTACAACACACAGGGACCATAGGGAACAAAAGTAGCCACCATCCATAAGGAAGGACAGTGTAAGCATGAATTTAAAAATGATTTGAGGATCTACAGCTGAGTGATACACAAATAAGATACATTTTTGTTAATAGGATACTTAAATGTATTTTTAAGATTTAACTCCTGATTTAGTGTCAGTTTAATTCAGTTTTGGGAGTGGGGGGGAAGACATGGAATAGAAGTCCCCATCCACTCCCGCCTTTTGCAGCAATGTGATGGCAGCCAGTGCTGAGGTCAGTCTACTACAGAATATAGGAAGATTAGCCAACTTCAATTAGCCAAATCCCATTTGATGCAAGCGGCGGGGTTTAGAGCGTGCTATTTACAACGCACCATGATGCTAGAAATATAACAGTCAGAACTCTAATCAGATTGAACCAAAAAAAGGAAAACTCCCTTCTTTTTCGGCGAGATGAATGCATGCCGACGACAGCCAGGTTTTATTTGTGGGTAGCACACAGAAGGAGCTGACAAGATGCGTGCTCGAATGATTTCCATTGTCAGCGGAGACTGGATGGGAGTGTAGCACAGATCCACTCCGGAGCCCTCCATTCACTGCCAGATGGCCTTTCAGAAGGAGAAGGCTGAGGATTCCCAGTGCGGCTTTTGCCCCAGGTCCTGTCGGTGGATACTGCTGCCACATCCAGAGTCCCGGGTGCCGTGCTAGGGGAGGGAGGCTTCCCATCCGTCACTCACACACACGTGTTGTTCACAGCATTAGGACTTTGCTGGGAGATGATTGCCAGGAATCTAGGACTGCACCAATGTCTTCTGTTCCTTGACTGGCGCCGCACACGAGTAGCAAAGCTGCTGCTGCTGCAGTGCTGAGTCTGCTTTGGCTTAGGATGACTGTGGGCTGTGCTTGGCGAAGATTAAGGGGGCTCCCCACGGTCACACTCCGCTTCACATGGTCATGGACTGGCTAGGGCTCAGTGTAGACCTGTGCTAGGTGCTGATGGTGCTCTGCTCATCCCATTCCATCTCATACTGGAAACTTCCCCCCATCTGATTGCCTGTCTTGCCATGCCTAAAATGCCATCAGGAGCTGGAGGGATACAAGCACGGCATGACTGCTGCATGCTTCTTCTTCTTCTTCATTCCTCTACATTTGTGCCAGCGAAGGCTGCTCCCTTTGAAGCCTAGGACTTAGAAGATCGAAGAGAGAGAGAGAGAGAGAGAGAAAAGCACGTTATGGACTTGCATTTATTCACCGATCTGATCATTTTTGTGGCAAGATAGAGGATTTCGCTTCAGTCACCCTGCCCTGATCACACACTGACACCCCAGTTGCCCTGTTCATGACATAACTATCTCCTCCCCCATAGTCACTATTCCCTTGAGGACTCCAGGAAGTTCCTTGGTCTGACGCCTAATGCTGCTCATTGAGGCTTGCCTTAATCTGTAGAACAAGTTCGGATGTAAGGTTCAGCTACTAGAACCGTAAAGGCGGTGGTATCTTTTTGGATTGATGTCTGCTCCGGTCCTAGTGGCGGTGGTGTGCTGCGCCCAAAGGTAGGTTGCCCTGCAGGGAAGCCTAATGGGCTCCATCAAAGGGCTCACACAGGACTCCCAGCGTCTTAAAATTCCCTGTATGTTTTCTGCTTGGTACTTGGTCAGAAGTGTTACCACCTTCATTTACTCCTGGGCTAGTGAGAGGAGCTGTAATGTAATAAGCTTTTATTTAGCTTTGATTGCCAAACAAGTCTTGAGAGGTCTAAAAAGTTCATTAGAAGCTTCTGATTTTCTTTTGTAATTAGTCCCTGCTGTGACCAAGTCTTTTGTATGTCCACAGTGTCAATGATCCCGGTAACATGTCATTTGTGAAAGAGACAGTGGATAAACTATTAAAGGGTTATGACATCCGCCTAAGACCCGACTTTGGAGGTAAGACAGCTTTATCTACTCTACAACGTACTGTTTTATGTCGTACCATCACTGCATGCAAGTTAGTTGGACAGCCATAGTCAGTGTGTTGGGTGTTGTGCATACAATGCAAGCTACTCCATAACGATTGATTGTAAGCCATTACCGTTTACATCTCTGAGTTGTCTGTATGGAATGCTTTCAGATTGTATGCTTGCTGAGATCCTTTAAGTCTGAAGAAGTGGAGTTTACAGAATGAGGGCTTCCTTCAGTCATACGCTTATTGATTTCTTTCCAGGTTCTCCAGTTTCTGTTGGAATGAATATAGACATCGCCAGCATTGATATGGTCTCTGAAGTCAACATGGTAAGCCCCGCATGAATCTTCTCCCTCTACTTTCCTGCCTGGACGTGCTGACTCACAACTACTTGCTTTCCACTCTACAAATGATGTGCTTTAGCTGTGTTCTGCTGCGGCTCCAGTCTGGGCTCTGGTTCAGCTGATTTTACTGTTGTGGCCACTTTGCTGGTGACTTTTATGCTATTATTTGTCTTCATGTCATTGTTAGAGAGTGTTTGGGAGGTCTTTTAACGGGCTGGCTTTGGCGTAGTTTGTAGTACAAGTGTAGGAGCTGTCTGTGGTGCTGAAAGGTCCCTGATACAGATTGCTTTTTAAACTCTGTCAATAGGATACTAATGCATTATCTGGCCAGTATACTAAAGCACTTAGGCCATGGTTCTAAATACTATGCTCTCCATTCAAGGTTGATAATGTAACAGAACATTGTAATATAATAGATTACTGTCTCCCTCTTGCCTCAATTCTCTTTGGCCCTTTCCTTCTTTCTTTTCCTCCTCTCCATCTCTTTCTTTCTCTAGAACTCTCTTTCTCTGTCTACTCCACTTTCTCTATTTCTTTCCCTTTCTTTGTTTTTTTTTCTTTCTTTCTTTCTTTCTTTCTTTCTTTCTTTCTTTCTTTCTTACTTTTTCTTTCTTTCGCTCCCTCTCTATATCTCTCTTTTTTTCGCTCTCTCTTTCTCCCTTCATATCTCTCTCTCTTTCTTTCTCTTTTTTTCCCATTTATCTTTCTTTCTTTCTTTCTTTCTTTCTTTCTTTCTTTCTTTCTTTCTTTCTCCATATCTTTCTTTCTTTCTTTCTCTCTTTCTCCATATCTTTCTTTCTTTCTTTCTCTCTCTCTCCCTTTCGTTCACGCTCACTCTCTTTCTCCCTCCATATCCTTCTTTCTTTCTTTTTCTTTCTTTCTTTCTTTCCTTCTTTCTTTCTTTCTTTCTTTCTTTCTTTCTTTCTTTCTCTCTCTTTCTTCCTCAATCTCTCTCTATCTCTTTTTCTTTCGCTCTCTCTTTCTCACTCCATCTCTCTCTTTGTCCCTTCGTCTCCCTCTCTTTTTCTTCCTTTCCTTCTTTCTTTCTTTCTTTCTTTCTTTCTTTCTTTCTTTCTATCTCTTTGTTCCCCTCTCTCTCTCTCTCTCTCTCTCTTTCTCCCCCTCTCTCTCTCTCTCTCTCGCTCTCTCTCTCTCTCTCAACCATACTCACAGATATTTTTTCCCCTCAAACATGTTGTGAATAAATTATCACTCAAATAGCATTTAGAACACCTTTACTGTGAAACTGCTGGCTACTTGTAATGAATTGTAGTAACTACTTTCACAGGAACATGGACATGTTTAATTCAGTTTCTCCTAATCCAATACTCATTATATGCATTTTATACACACATAATATACTTTATAATAAAAGTCAAAGGTCATACGGATCGATAGCCAGTACTACTGGTATTTACAACTAAAGCATCCTATTATTTTCAAAGAAGTGATGACAGCCTTGTCTGTAAATTAGCTCATAATAAATAAATCAATATAGAGTTATGGGAATATTTTTAAATTGAATGATTGAAAACATTGATTTATCCAAATTGGCCAGCTGATAGGAGAGTCAGTAAGTTATTTAACCGCGTATTATTTCAGGTGACACTCGTGGGGCACTGGCAAATTCTGAAAGTTTATTAAGTTAGATAAGCATTGACGTTAGCTTTAACATTGTTTATGTCCCTTACAATCATCCTCATATTTAATTTTTGGCATTTCAATAAGCTTTTAATATTTATGTATTTTTTTAAATCAATAAAAGCATTAAAAGCAATAAAAGCATTCACTAAATTTAAGGAAAATTATGTAAAGTTTAAAAGCATCCCTAAATAATTACTAGATGTTTAAATGATGTACTGTTAGTGACAATATAAAGCTGTATATTTTAGTTCCTATAGCATATACAAATACAAGTAACATTTTTTTCAATGCGTAGTTAAATTACAGCTTTGTGTATAACAAATGTAGAAGTTAGCATTTTGCTATTATGCTGTGCTTTTTATGTATAGGATTATTGTTACCATGGGTAAGGCAGGCATTGTAGTTGTGTTGCTAATAGCAGTTTGCTCAATAGAACACCCTTGTACTATTGTTATTACTCTTTTTATGGTGTGCTGACATTAAGAGGTTTGTGCTGTGCAAAGATAAGTGCATTAGGAATCCTTGCAGTACTGTTAGAAAAAAATCTCCTGCCTGGGATGCCTGAAAGCCCAAGCACGGTATTAATTGTCCATAGTAATGGCTACTTCCTAAAAGCATTATCTCTTTTCTCTGCAATTCATATTTATTGAGTGGCAGGTCCACCTGTCAAGTGGCAAGTATGCTCACTGTTACAGATAATGTTTCACTTTTCTTTGGCTATATACCTCATCATATATGAACATTTTGTAAACGTTTTGCTGAATAAAAAAGTTATGTAGTTTAATTGCATTATACATTGTTGTACTTATAGAACTTTTTTTCTAATATAGAATTGAATGTGACAGGTAACGCTAGAACAATGTTCCATTTAAATTATATGATTCATGTAAAATTCTGAATTTTACTGACAATTATAGGAATGGTGTTTATGTCCTAATATGCTATTCTTAATGCAGAACTCTGGGCAACATTAATATTAACACTTGCTGTGGGGCTCCCCTGAACTGCAGGGGTTAACTGCTCGTTTGTGTCTAGGAACTAAAAAAAAAAAGGTATACTCACCCGAACCTGAGAGCCAGATGGCTGTCACAACACTCCCTCCAGCCTCTCTCCTCTTACACTGCAGTGATCCTATGTCCCTCGGCTTCCTATACACAGTGTATTGGACGTGATGACTCAAAGATCCTTAGACCGCTGCAGTGGAGGGGAACGTAGCTAGAAGGAGTAGTCTAAGAGCCGTCCATCTCTGAGGATCAGGTGAGTATAACTTTTTTATTTTAGTCCCTAGACACAATTGAGCAGTTAACCCTCGCAGTTCAGGGGAGCACCACTGCAAGGGTTAATAAAAATGTTGCTAGGAGAGCTTTGTTAATAAAACCCTAAAACATAATACAACATCATCATCATAATAAATAAAATTATATCAGTCTAATCTAATACTTTAGCATTACCAGGGTGGTAAAACAAATCTGTTAGAGTAGTGCAAAGCTTCGGTAATAAACCAGTATGATGCAACTTTTCAGTCTTGCACCAGTCTAGTCCAAAGATGCTGTACTACAAGAGTCTTATGAAGAATGCACTAATACTATACAAATTTAATAGAAATCATCAACAATGTCTAATAGAACTCCTGTATACAGAGCCCGCTGGCTCACTGGCCCAGCCCATGGCTTTTGGCAGTCTTCTACACACCAACTGTATTAGGGAAGAATGAGAACCATCGTCATTAAAATTAGTTTTATTGCCTGTTTCCAGATACTGATAGTGCTGAATCTACAATGGTGATGCCAAGTGAATTTAGGGTGAGGTGAAGAGCTAGGATTAGAGTAGTTCAGAAAATCCTACTAAGAATAAGTGCTAGTTGCCTGGTTATAATGCTGAGGCACAGACTTGAAACAAGTATGCATATTAAGAGATCTGACTTTCATTCTTGTTCTACATCAGTGGGTTTGAGTTACTAAGGGCAACTAGTCTGTTCACTTTGCAAGGGAATTTGCACTTTGAAAGGGAATTTTCCCTTAGCTTAGTGAATGAGGTGAAGCTCTTCTGACTTCCATCATGCAAACATTTCCCTGTTCTTGATTAGGTATTCTTTGCAAAGTGAATTTTCACCACTTTTACTGAGCTAAGGGAAAACTAAACAGCCTATTTGCCTTTAGTAAATCAACCCCGGTGAATCTGAATGTATTGATGCAAAGACAGTCAGACTAGTATTTTTGGCAGAAGGTCAACACTGACAGCCCCTGTGTTTGTCTAATTATAAGGTGCATTTGTGGGTTATGTAAGCATTATGTTTTAGCGTTAAGAGGATGAAGCGGTACATGCTAGGCGAGTCTAAGGGATAGGTTAGGGTTAGGGGCCAGGGAGCATAAAAGAGTATTTTTTGTTTTCATTTTCTGGCTATGGTTCTTACTGTTGGAACCCCTTCTGGCTAGGTTTTATACTGTTGAAAAACAATGTACTGTTGCCTAAGACCTTCCTAGCATGAGTAGCCCCAATTATTGCTATTCTACAGACAGTATACCTCTAAGGATCATTGGACAATATATGTGCCATCACAACGTCTAGGTTGAGATACCTACTTTAATCTCCTTCTTTTCACTGCAAGATGCTGATGATTCTAGAGCTTTTTTTTTTCATTTTAATGATGCGAATAAGGTTCAGGGGAGCAGTATTTTCAATATGCAGCTAAGATAAAGAACATGGGTCATGACCTCAAACTAGCTGGAGGAAAGTTTAAAACTAATCTTAGAAAGTATTTTTTTACTGAAATAGTAGTTGATTCTAGGAACATATTTTTAGCAGAAATTTTTAGTCAGTCAACAGTAAGTTAGCATAAAGATGATTGGGTCAAACATAAATCTATACTCAGACAAAAAGGTTAAAAAGAGAAAAAAAAAAGTGAAAGCAACAAAATAAAAATCCAAAAAGGGGTAGGTTTCATTGACCTGTTGGTCTTTTATTACATAACCTATTTATGCTTCTATGTGACATCTAGATTTCAGTCTGCAGCCAGATAAAAGTTCCTTAAACTTCCACCTCACATTTCTATTTCTTGCAACCTGGGCAGTATTAGTTTCCCAATCAGTGACCTACACAAATTATTTTTAGTTAAATGCTGGAAAACATGTTGGCGTCTAAAGGCATGACAGGGAGTGTAATGTTTCTTTTTACAATACTGAAACTGCTCTTTCAATTATAGTAGGCATACCCTTTTATATAGCACTAACTTTAATAACTTTAGGACAAAGAAAGGTAAAGAACTGTTTGACAAAACCTTGCCATGCACAAAGTTTTTTTCCTACTTTTAGATCAAAGAAAGATTACGGCTCTGTTAGGTT